TGATAAGTTTCAACCCAAGTCCTAATTAAGGCATTTCAACGTAAGTCTGTAGGAGGTGCCTCGGCAATGCATTTTTCAATTTTGTGCGGTCGAGTAAACTTGACAAAGTAAAACTTTGATACCAGGGTTTCAATTTTCCAACCTGTTAAATGCATACCAATAATTTTTGTCTAGATTTGTGTTCTAAAATAAAAGATTTTTGCTATCGATACATTTCATGTGCAGCACCATTATTTCAACCGGCCATTTCTCTCTGTCTTTATATACTTATCATTTCACAAAGTAAATGTAATAAGAAAGCAAATCATGTTTGTCCAAATTCTATGAGAGGTAATTTAATTTGCATGTTTCGTTGCGTATTGACGTCAAATGTAGCAAATGTTCTGATCCGCAGGCCAGGAGACGAACAAAAATATTCGTTTCGTTGCCAAGTAAAGCAGTGACGGTTGGCGGGTCGCCTGCCGAAGACGACCACTGCCCTGGATGTAATGGACCATCATGATTGGTGCACAAAATTGGTGGTGCACGGCTGCGCTCCCACGGTTGGCGCGTCGTGAACAAAATGACTCTTCTGTGTTTCAGCTGATAAATTTTTGGGGCCGCTTCTAGCAACAGGGGAGGTAAATTTTGGAGCTTTGTCATTTGGAAAATGGATTCAAAGTTACAAATTACTGTTGTACAGCTTAAAATAAATTCATGAGTTGCATTTGGTTTCGCTATTATTAGGTGAGCATAGCAAGTATAGCGTGTCGTCGAGGAGCGCTTTCGGCGTCAATAAGCTTTACGTTTTAAATTAGAGTAACGTGACATAAGGCACAGATAAAGTAGGTTTGCAAATCACCAACACGTAAAATAAAGTCTTTCTCTCGTACCAACATGTAAAATAATGCCATTCACTCAAGGTAGGTTGTATATAATATTTACTTCTAAAAATTTTCAAAATCATCATAAAATCGAGCGATGGCTTGACCTTTTGTAAAAAATTACTCACATCTACATTAATTGCTTCTGTCTCGCGTAATTGGCAGTCCCATTCCCGAGCAATTCCGTTCCACGGGACAAGGTTGCTAATCAGATTTAATAACGTTGGGAAATTATCACCAAGAGCCCTGAAGTTGACACCTTCGTATATTGCGAAGCTGTTTCGTTCTGACGTTCATAATTTGCCATGGAGTGAGGGATATAATGACTTCTGTCCTGATTCATGATAGCTTTTGATCTCATTTGATTGCGTTTTAGAGAACCTCATTTTGGTGTTATTTGATAGAGGTAAAAGTTAGAAAAAAATAATTTTTATCTATTCAGAATCACTTGATTTCATTGTATAAAGACTTCATCATCTTCTGAAAGCTGAGCATTCAAGTCCATATGGCGTTTTTTACGGTCGTTCGACATTATATATATGATCTTTTGTACTAAAATTATTAAAAAAAAATCTGTACGACGGCCATGGCCTACCAAAAAAAATATTCAAATAAATTTCTTTGAGTTGAAACATTATGCAATATTTTTAAATGTAAATTGATGTCTTGCACTTAACTCAAAATATATGTTTACGTACGTACACGCAAGTAACCAAAAATTGCCTCTGACCACATTCAACAAGATGATTCATCCATGAATAACAAGGTAATTTATATCTTGATTTTTTTTAATTTGCGTGTAACTTCCACATGAAAATTAAAACTTCCTCCAAGAGCTTCCAGGGCAATCTCATGTGTATTCACAACACACTGAACATGAAAGTAGCAGATTTTGGAAAATGCTCTACATGAACCCTTGCAGGCTAATTTTTGAGTGACCTCCTGGCCCCATATTTTTAATCTTCCCCACGCACATTTCCGGTACTCAAGGAGAATTTTGATCAGAATTGTCCAAGAGGAAATTCTTCACTTCTTATTGACGACTGTCACTCGCAGGTGCGCCTTAAAAACGTGCAATTTTGCAAAGCAATTTGAATAAGTTTTATGAGTGACTCGCAACAACCTCGTCACGTCTGAACATTTTTGAATAGAATTTCGACAATTACTGTGGTCAGTGCTTAAGATTTTTTTCTCGAAAGAGAATACAATTAGAATTGACGTTCCACTCTTGATTTAGAGAAAATATGGATTGCACAACGCAAAAAAATTTTTAAAATCATTTCAAATTGAATATTTTTGACGTAACATCACTCATTGAACTTTGATATGAATATTTATAAATTAAGAAACCTAAATTAAATTATAGCCTAATATTAAATTGATGTATAGCAATCATTGAGCAAAGTAAATCTATTTCAATGAATAATAGTTTAGTAAGACTTAAGTGGCATTAGATTGGCGACTTATCTAGGTACTTTTCTAAATTATCTACAGTTTTCAATTTATTACAATTTATTAAATATTACGCAAATGTTATTCGTAATATTCCTAATTCACGTAGAACTATATTTCACTAATGTTACTCGACCTTAAGTTTCGTTTTGCAAATGCCTTTGTTTGAATTTGTAACGGTAAAAATTGACAATTCGTGTGCATGAAATTTATGAACAAAAATTGGAAAGTTTCATGACGGCTTGGAGAAAGCCAAGATGTTGTTTCTCAGAATAACGCAGCATTTAATGTTTTTTATCATTAAATTTACTTTACATGCTCTATAAAACTACATTGGAATGTTAAATAACTTGGAAAAAAAAATCAGTAAAGAAACCATCTTCAAGGCAGATAGTTGAATGTTACCGTGATGCCGAGCTCGGTTTTTACCACGCCATGGCCACAAGTCAAATGTCTAAGGACCAAATTGCAGGTAGCATAAAAGAGATGTGAAACCTGCAGCCATCTTGTGTGACAGGTAGCACAAAAGAAACCTGCAGCCATCTTGTGTGATGAGGGAGTTCACGCAGGCAACGCAAGGGCAGCCATACCGCAGGCCGGGGACTGGAGTGAGGGCTAGCTTGATAATAACAGAAATTGGATCGCCCACGTGGGAGAGTGCGAGAGAATCAGATGAAGCAGCTGCTTTATAGGAGCTAGAAGCGAGTATATGGCGATGAGGGTAGCAGGGATCTGGGGTCAAGAATTTGGGTATAAAGTTATGGTTGAGGGTATGAATTTACACTACAGGTAATCATAAAATTACTTTGATTTATTTTACTTCATTTTCTCAAAAAATTTGTCTCGAAAGCACCGGTACGATATGTTTATGTTTCAGTAATCGAAAATGATACTTGCATTATGGACTTATAGTGCAAATAATAATATTCAGTGATACTTGAATATCAACATGAATCATTCGGTGTTAATAAAGACAATGAGCAACCAGGTTGGGATTTAAAAATATGTATTGAATACGTTTATACTTTATACGAATGCATAGTATGAAAAAACTGTAAAAGCAAGTACTATCTTTCATGACAGCTAAAAATCAGGTTCGTCAAAATTATTCATCAGCCGTTATAATAAGTTGAATTGCAAACAATCAAACAATCGTCTCGATAACAAGAATGGTAGTTTATTATTGTAATCATTTCATAATAAGAGCATTCAATTTGATGGTGCTTCCCAATTCCTTCCTTGCGACGTCTCAAGTCGAAATATACTCTAAACCTTCTAGAGAATGTGAACTTTTCATGGCTCAAACCTATAGATCAAATTTAATTAGAAACTGAAGTACTTATTTTTTGTTATGGTCTAAGGTGAGCTCCGGCTCGAGTACAATTCCTTCAAAGTACCGCGTTACGAATAACAGTACCTAGTTGTTTTGTTCTGCATAATCCTAGATTGTTTTGAATCTCCGTTGAAGAAGACAAATGCCGCCGTAAGCCAATAAAAAAAACAATTGTTAGTGATTTGTAGTTTTAACTCTATAAAAGCTAAGTTAAAATGTTCGCAAAATATTTTTTTAACTGGATTGAAAGATCACGATGAAATTCACAGAGCTGTTTTGATCTCTGAGTTCATAAAGAACCTGAGAAGGATTTCAGCGCTAGCCCCAAAATCCTCTTCAGAGTTGGAATCGGTTTGGCACCAGTATGATTGGCATCGCCAAATCCGACATGAAGCGGCTTTCAGTTTATACTTCTTAAAATAAATACAGGATTAATTTTGATTTAGAATCGGTTCACGTACATGAAAACCCCACTCAAAAAATAAACGAAAGTACCTTAATGGATAACATTTATAGTTTTATTCCATTTAAAATCAGACGTTGTGAAATGAACATGCTGGCAGTCTTAATTCTTGTTGGGATATTTAGATATATTTTTTTCAGAAAAATTTTGCAACCTTAGATTCAATGATTGTTTTTCTCGCAATCTACGTTCTTCTTAAAACTCAAATTTATAATTATATCGATTTCAAGAGGACATCAAAAGAAAATCCCGCGCAAATTAATGCTTATGGAACGTGGGGGGATCAGCTTGGGGGATCAGACTCAGACACAGGCGAGTCATGTATTAAATAATAATCTTGTCAATTGATTTCAATCAACATTTATAACGCTGAAAATCTTATCAGTAGATCTGATCTACTGCAATGAAAGAAAAAGCTAATTTCACTCCGTACCTATATGAGAAGTGTGCTTTATATTTTCTATACGCGGCAAAACAAAGTCCTTCCCACTTGAACAAAAATTGCAACACAAAACGCATCGTGAAACAATTTAACTGAGAGAACTAAATCAGCTTTCATTGTATTATTTTTTTTTAGAAATATTTACACCACTCTTATTTAGTATTTCTTATATTCATCGCTTTTGTGTGTTAGGCATTGATCGCGAGTAAATGAAAGATTCGTGCAACAGGAAAAATGCATGAAAACTTACGTGGAAGTTAGGCTTGGAACAAACGAGTATTGATCATTATCAGATTACGCGACATTTATTCCTATACGCAAATAAAATATCAAGTAGTCTTATTAAATTATTTAGAATATTATGAAGACAAAATAATCATGTTACATTATTATTGTATTGCCGAGAATCGAGATTACAAGTTCCGAGCTTTGCAATTGCAGAATGCAGGCACTGCAGCCAACAGTCGAGATCGTGGGATTCGTGGCAGTTCGTTGGGCGAAAGTACAAAGGCTCTGTGAAGATGACTTGGGGATGGTTATTATTGATTATGCTGGCAGTTTTGCCTTCTATAGACGCATCATCAGTGGAAAATTATTATTGTGGTGACGATAATTGTTATGATTGTAAGTCCAAATTTTATTTTTAATATTTAAACATAAGAAATGACATGGAACGTGCAGCTTTCTCTGGAAACCCTCAAATCGATAACCATAGCATTTGAATCGGCAGATTCGCCAGGCGGCCAGGGCCCAGGGATTTGTAGAATTATTCGCATATTAAAAAATGAGAGATTTTTTAGAAAATATTCTACTAATTCCATGAATTTGTTGAAAATTTATCCAATTCTATGTACCTACCTAGGTATATGATTCTAGGAATGAATGATAATTGATGCCCTGGACCTGGTATCATAGTGGTATGACTATGAGTGGTAGGCTTAGAGGCTATCCAGTATCCAATCATGGAATCAATGGGCATGATACTGAATTTACTGATTACTGATGATAGGCCTAGCCCTAGCCTAGTAGTTGACCTACTTGTTGTAGTTGTTCCACTAAAAAAATTCAGGAAGGCTAATAATTATATCATTTATATGTGATTATAATAATTATGTGAACAAGTGCTGAAGTGCATGTATGATATTGGATCTAAAATTTGTAAATGAGATATTACCCAGACTTACCCTTATAGCCTATCTATCCAATATTTAAAAAATGATAAAATTCCACTATATATATGAAGATAATAGAACTATAAAAAAAGTTCTAAGAATAGCAAGCAGAAATGGTCAGTTTTTCTTATTTTTTTTCTGATAGAAATTAGGCAATAGTCATTGAAAAAGGGTGAAATTGTTCTGAAGCACTGGCCAGGATGGAATTCTAATTTTGAAGGTTCATATATTATTTCGATCCACCAAGACCANTCACGGCTCGTAGAAATGGAATCACGGCTGGCAAATCCATAAAACCACGGCTCGAAAAATTCAGTCGCGGCTCGCCAAGTAGATATATTCCATACTAGCATGCCAGGGTGCAGAGGGTTGAACGTGGAAGCAGCATCAGTGCATCACCAATATATATGGGTTTTTAAGCCCAAAGCGTTGCCAACCATTTTCAAGATGCGTCGCCAGGTAGTTTTTAATGAAAAGCCATTTACGCTGAGTAATGAAAAACTATTTACAAGCCACAAACTTATTTACAAGGTTACCGGTACATGCACGTATTATCCCAAATAACTAATTTTACCCTTAAAACTGTCCGATTGTACAGCAAGTGTCAACTGAACATGTAGTAATGCAGTCTGACCGGGGGGCCAGTGTGGAATTCTGTATAGGTAATATATTCTCATGTCAATATAACAGGCTGGAATTCTAAGATTGGAAGTTCACTTATAAGAAAGCTTTCCACCCAAGGTGAAAAGCTTTCCTTTGATACAGTGCTCTGCCATGTTACTGACTATAAATTTAAAGATGGATCATAAGTGGACAAACTATTTCAATTGTATAGTACATTAGGTTTGTTATAGAATAATTTGGATGTCTCTTGTTTGATAGATATTTTTTATTTTTATTTTATTTATTGGATTTTTAGAAAATTTTCCCAGCCCTTTGTTCATAATTATCAAGTTTAAGTTAAGTATTTAGTTAACCAGTACTGTAGCACATATACCATATTTGGTGGTGGGGCTTATGGACACAACCAATCATAGCATGAAAGCATCCCCATCAACCAATCACAGCTTGAAAGCATCCCCATCAACCAATCACAGCTTGAAAGCATCCCCATCAAGTCAACCAATCACAGCTTGAAAGCATCCCCATCAACCAATCACAGCTAGAAAGCAAAATAATCTTACAATTCCATTAACCAATCACAGCTGGAAAGCTGAAAGGGGCTAAAATCACAATCTCATCAATCAATCACAGCTGGAATTCTGGAAAGGGATAGGATATCATGATATGTACATAATTGACTGAAAGTGTAAAGTTCCTGGCCTTTCCAAGCTTTCAGGTCCTGCTTTCCAATATGCTATGTGTACTGGTTAATTTAATACCCCTCTAGAATTCCACACTGCAATATAAGAAAACGTATCAAAAACCAACCCTACCAGGCTACCACCGCGTTACACCACCTTCCACTGCAATGAAAATTGATGAAATGAGCCCATTAGAAACTGCCGCACTTCCAAAATTGAGCGTGGTTTGACATCCAATCCTGTTGGCAACGCCTCAATCAAGTTAACTAGTCGTCTATCTGTAGGGTAGTAGACAAATTTTTGCAATGAATACATTCTAAAATAGAAAAAAACACATCCACATTTGTAAAAAATTCTCACGATTGGACAAGACCAACAAAGTTTTCGATTACACACAAAATTATGAGATAAACTTCTACTTTTTCACTGCGTACATTCACATCATACTTCCTATGTTTACGTATTTACAGGATGCCATCACACACGCTTTTGTTTTGGTTGTGTCTTGTTTGATTTCACAATAAATAGATTTGATTCACATTCCATTCTGAGATTTAAATGATCGAAAGTTTTTTTAAATTATAAAAACCCATTTATACATTCCAGATTTGAATTTTTTCCAATTTTTGCCCTATTATGTTGAATTTATCTTAATAAATTCACTTCAAATTCTGAATGATTTTTTCTGCCATCCTGCGTTTTCGAACGTTTTGTGTCTTTCAGAAAATGTTCGTTGTTTAAAATGGGAAACTATTTCATTAAATAAAAACTAGAGCATGTACCATTTAGTGCATTAATAATACAATTTAATTTAACCAGTAAAAATGAGCATCATAGGAATGAAAGTAATACTGTCATTCATACATCACAAATTGAATGACATTGGATGGATTTGATAGGTATTTTATTAATCCTGTTTATATATAAGAACAGAAATGACGCTTCTATTTCAGAATGACAATGGAAATGTTCCTTCTATTTCAGAAACTTTCCTTGAATTCACTTGCGAAGACTAGAGTTCTGTAATCAATAGAGTCTTTGAAATGACAAAATCATTCAATTTAAAATTTTTAGCTACGGTCAACCGGAGCTACTCGGGACAAGCGGGGCTACTTGGGACAGGCCTCCGACACAGCGTAAAACTGTTGTAGTAGCAAAACTAATTGGAATATTGCAAAACTAAAAATAGTGGCATAAACGTCAACATTTTTCCTTTCTATGTAATATAAAGGAAGTCGAAAAATACCTACTACATTTACTTGCTTTGAAAAATTCCTGAAAAAAATGGTGAAAAACTATATTTTGTAAAGTTACAACTGCTAAGGTATGTAGCAAAAAAAATATTGCCGTATTAAAAAATTTTACTTGCGTAAAAGTTGCACCTAGGTGTCGGCTTGAAAACGTAATTGACAGAATTTGCCTATCTCATTCCAAAAAGAAATGGCAGCTATTTCCGCAAGGTGGGGCTACTCGGGACACCCCCCTGGGGCTATTTGGGACACCCCCAAAAACGCATTTACGATAGAACCTCAGTTAGCAAAGGCTCCAATTACAAAAAAAAAAAAAAATTGATTAAAAACAAAGAATATTGATTACATTTACCTGGCTGAGGGAAAAAAAGTTCACTTTTCATCACACAAATTACAAGCCCTCTTGTAAGCTTACAGATACAGAAAAAAATGCTATAAGGCTGCAGATATGAAGCTTGCAGTGAACAAGGTTGTTGTAAATGCTCAATGGCATGTTCATGGATACAGTAATATCACATCAACAATACAGTAATATCCCATCAATAATAGGGTACCATCAACTGGGGGATTCAGCCATGTTCATAATGATGGCCAAAGCAGGTCATAAACAGTCATAAACAATGGCCAAAGTCACTCCAGTGGTTATGAACTGGTTTACAACCCTGGCGTTTACGACCCTGCGTTTACGACCCCAGCATGAATCAAAAACCAGGTGGAAGTCACCCCAGTTGAGGGTAATTAATGTTTATGGTAATATCATATCAATAAAGGAAAAACAAGTAAAAATCACAGAAAATGTCGTTTATTCTACCTCTACATCCTCTACAATGAAAGAGGAGGAATTCAGAGTACTGTTAGTAATGGATGAGTACGCTCTGCATGCTTCAAATGTTTTGAAATAAAGTTTTATTCCCATTGTCCCGAGTAGCCCCGACCGACAACGGGGCTACTCAGGACAATCTTTATTTTGCGTCTGGCACCTTAGGAATAGCATATGGAATTTTTTTGACAATGCCATTTGATAGCCCTCGCAAAGAGCTATTAAATGAGCCTAAATTTGTTTATGAAATGTTTCATCATAAGAAGTTATTAACAGTTATTGACAAAAAAACGATCAAATCTGTCCCGAGTAGCCCCGGTTGACGGTATATCTAAAATAATTAAATGCAGTGAATGGATATAAAATATTTGAATTGTGCACATGTTTATTTCAAACAGTGTTGGCTTTTCTCATATCTTAAGTCTCGTTTCAAGTCGTATGAGGTTTGTTTGGTTATCATTCAGTTTATGTTTAGTATTGGTTTATTGGTCTGAATTGAATGGGAACAGTGCAGTGACTGCAGTCAGTCACTCAGTCACTACTAGTTGGTGTGTATAGAGGGTAGAGTCTGGTAGATTTATAGGACATAAAACTAGTAGATCTATTGATAGTGTTGTGCACTGTGCTATCAGCTACCTATGTGTTATGTGACTCTTCAATGTTTAAAAGATCTGCTTTCCTGAAGTGTTTTTGTATATCTATTGAAGACAGTTAAATGGTGAATATTTAGCTCATTACCTTGCTCCATACAAACTTGACAAAGCTAATGAATAGACTTATCAGTAATTGTTTACCCAAAAATCCCCAAGTGGTAAACACCACCTTGGCCTGTTGGCCATTATTGAAGGCAATAAGTGCCCTTTTTAGCCATCCATTATGTTCCATATACTGTTATTGTTAGTAGGGTAATTGCAACATAAAAAATAACACTTCAAAAAGACAAAAAAGGTGAAAAAATAAAAAAAAATCAAATAAATAAAAAAAAAATCATGAAAAAAATGAAAAAAATCATTGATTTTCGATTTTTTTATATAAAAAAAAATAAAAAAAATCACCAACACTGGTACGTATCAAACAT